TATCAAAAAACAAAAATCGCACTTTAAGTTTCTACTTTAGCTCCAGTTTCTAATTATGTGCTTAGAATACTACCAAATTAAGTTTAAAGTAAGGATTTAAGGCACTTACCACGAAAACAATTTATGTTCAACCTCGCTCAACTTCGTTCAACTTCTCTGTCTCGATCTGACAGATCTTGACGTGCATTTTCACCTCGTGCTGCACCAACGTCAATCATGACGAGGTCCACCAATGGCATCTTTGATATAACTCACGTGTTCGTAACCCAAAATTCCGATCATACCTAACTCATCAAAAACAAATGTACTGTGTCCATAGGCCCAGCACAAAAAGTGGTTACTAAACAATAGAAAACAAAATATCTAGAATAAATTAGTACTGTTTACTATGAAATAATGTTCACATGTTTAGAGTGAGCACTTTACCATTGCATTTAAATATAAGTATAAGTATGAATACAAGAAATGAGTCGAATACAAATTACTTTATTTCATGAACAATCTAATGTGATACATAGTTATTTTATATTGAAAAATATAATTAAAAATGCATTTAAGACATACAAATATTTAGCATTTATTAATTGTAATGATTTGTGAGTCATCGATAAACAATAAATTGGAAAATCTTAAAAATCAAAGATATAACATTTGTTTTTGATTGCCAATAAATTCATTAAAAATCAGTTTAGCATTTCACTAACATCATTCAAGAAACAGTGATTTTATTTAAACTGATAGTACTGCACTCCAAACCCATTGTTTTCTTTTTCTCTTGAATGATTACTACAGTTGGTCACAATTCTTTCACAGTTTAAATACAACCACTCTATATCATGAAAAATTACTATTAGCAGAATATTCAGAACTATTATAGCAGTATAGATATATAGTCTTCATACAGATTGATTATCACTGAAATGTGAAATAGTTTCTAAGCTAATAAAGATGCTAATATACCATAGCCAAATCCATTGTTTTCTACTGTTGATTTATGACTATTGCACCAAATATATCTAGTTTTGATTTCATTGGGAGATGAAAGTCACTCTATTATTTATATTCTCCCACAATAATAAAGTTCAAGATCATTTTTTTTTTAGAAATTATGTTTTCTAATAAGATCTAAACACTGTCTATTTTTATAAATGATATTCACAAAAATTATCAAATCAGGAAGGTTAATACTTCATTCCTACACCTACTGAGTGCCCCCTACTACCTTCAAGAGCTTTTTAGTTATTTTCTTACTGGCTACAGATGAAATAATTTCTACCATTAATTCATGTTTACAATAAAAACATTTTTCATCATCAGGCATTTTCTCAAAACCACAATAGCATACCTTCTCTGTGTCTTTATGAATTCTATCTGGAATTACACTATCATTTGTTTTGTGGTATTGAAGGATTGATGGTGTTTGGAGGGGGAGCCACATTTTACTGATGTAATCATGCCTTAATACTTGAAACCACCTGAGGTTGTAGTTAGTTTGTTTAGCATAACTTGCTATTTGCATGTGCTTAGCCTCCCTGCCCTGCATAGAATTCATCCCCAGACCTGTCCCATATTTCTCAAACATCCACTGAGCATGAACTGAAACCACCTTACCAATACTCCACTCACTAGGGGATGGTGTACCTGGCTGAAAAAGAACTAGGGCAATAAAATAGTCAGAGGAACTAGACTGAAGCTTGAGAAGTTTCTCTTGACTGAAATTATACATTGAGAAGAGAGAAACTGAATCTCTTAATTTAATAGCAATAAAGACAAGTGTCAACAATCTAGCAACCAGTGCAGGGCTAGGACTATTACCTCTGATAGCATCAATTAGGTACATAAAACCATGCAAGATCAGCTGCGAGTCCTTACCGGTAAAACGATAAGAGAAATTCTTATCTTTTTTTAAATTTTTTATTTTTATTTAAACATATTTATCATAACATTTGCCCCAAAAGCAACGAGACTTAACAAGGGGGCTTACGTCTATTTTACAATATAAATAATAAATAGCAAAAGCGGAAATTAGAAAATAAGTACAATAAATACACAATAAATAC